GATGGAGGTAGGCTGTTAATGCTAATGGAGGCTATCCCTTAGCAACAGTATGATTGAGTTAGGAATTTTTTAATTGACTGAACAAAGCCATAAACGAAATCATCTGGAAAATACAAACCTGTTTTTAAAATTGCCTAAACTGGAATAATACTGTTATGCAGGTTAACCCTTAGCAAGAGTATGATTGAGTTAGCAATTTTTTAATTGACTGAACGAAGCCATAAATGAAATCATCTGGAAAATACAAACCTGTTTTTAAAATTGCCTAAACTGGAATARTTAGAGTAAGGAAAACTGGAGCACCCACAGAAAATATATATCATAACCTTAAAACATAGATAATAGAGGGGAATGGTTAGGAAACCTATTGTTATCAGGTCTTTGTTCACTTGTGAGGTTGAACCGGCCTTGACCGTGCACAATGTTGGATTTATGCTCATCCAAAATTGCAAAAAAAGTAAACATAAACTTTGTCTATGGGATTGTTGTAAGGAATATTCAAATATCTCTTTAAAATCTTTAAGCATTTTGAACTAGCTGCCAAAAGAAAGATTTTGGTCTGTCACTCAGCCATTGCCAACAATGGTAAAACAAAGGATTGTGCACGATCACGCTTGAAAAAAGTGAACAATAACCTATAACGATAGAGTTTCCTAACCATTCCCCTCTTTTTGACTATGCCTAAAATAATCAAATTACCCTATTTCACTATGACGTCACATCAAAACAATCTATTGTTTAAACGCAAAGGATCATGGTCGTTTGAGGGGGTCAAATCAACGCAAATTCACCGAAAATTGTTCTAAAACCCGTATCAATCCACGAAGAGAAGCAGAATAGCCAACAAATGCTCAGAATATTTTTTAGTACATATTAACGCATATTATATCTGAAAACCAGGCCATTTTAGATTAAAGTGTTTCGCTAGGAGCAAAGTTTGTTGAATTTTCTAATGGATTTGGCGATTCTATCCCCCATATAAACAAGCAGTGACGTCATACATGTAGTGAAATAGGGCAATTATTTTTAAATTTTCAGGTTGGAAAAACCATTCATTTTCCAGTCCAAATAATGCAGACTCTTACATTCAACAAAGCAACACTATGCATAATGTCAATGGTATTTATCCAGATTATTCTAGTATTCTCATGGTATAACATGACGAACAAAGCAAATGGATTTGAAAACTCAGTCRTCACTATTGATGCAAAGTTTGACTGGCATAGCATTCCCAAAGATCCACTTCTGGTTGACTGGACTGAAGTAAGAAAGGGCAAGCATTTGGTGAAGGATATCAATTGGACGAAAGTAGATAAGAAACCAAGGCCATCAGAGCTTCATGAGAAATGGGTCGTCATTACGTCTATTAATAAACCTACTAATGATGT